ATCGCCTAATAATTCCGTGAACCTGAGATAAGATGAATATTACATAATTACTATAAGATTTCTTATACTAAAGTGAGATATACAATTTTAAAAAGTGAATAGATTTGTCTTGTAACATGTGCTAAGGCATAAACTGAATTATAATAACGTCATGACGGCAACTGGATAAATAATTCACTAGTTTAAGCTTTTTTACAAGATTTAGATTATGATACTAGCACATAGGCAGATTCTTAATAAATAGATAATTTAAAATTGTGACATTGTCGAGCTTATACTTTTACAACTTTTTTAAATTGTCAAAATATAAAGTGAATAGTATCCGGTGCAAAGTATGTTGGAATGATACAGCGTACATCCAAACATACTGTAGAGTGATAATCGTGCTCGAATGAGAATAATAAAGAGGCTACTTAATACTATACATAAAAAGATGGTGTACCTTGAACGCAAAATTAATTACGACTGATGCTTTTAGGCGCTTACCTCATAACCTTTATTGATAAGTAACTCTGCCAGGTAAGAGCCGTCCTGTAAAGAATATGAATTCTTAGTTAGTTTTTATGGAGTTGCGATAGCAAAGATTCGGCGATATAAAGCATTAAATCTAATGGTGATACCGTAACCAAGAATAGAGTTAGCGGTATCCAATTTCTACGTAGTCATGCAATTTATAAATGTTAATGGAGTATTATTATTCAGCACAGTTGCAGACTCAGTCAAGTTTTGAACATGTATAAACACTGTAAGAATCTAGGATAATATCGTTCGTTGAGAAGATAGTATAAAGAATATAAGTAATATATGTATGTCCTATATTATAGGATGGGCTAACTACGAATCTTGAACTTAGATTAACGGAATCTATGTGTGCATGCCATTTATATTCAAGAAGTAATAGCTGTGATTAAGAATGTAAGTGATGTAACGGTAGGTGATGAAGTCCATTTTCATTTGTGCAGCAGGAGAGTTCAAACGAGACAGTGATAGAACGAGGCGTTGTTTTTGGTCAAGAGAATATAGAATGAGTCAAGTTAGCTTTTAATGTGTTGATTTGATATAATCATTCATATTAATCACTCATGCATTATACAGTAAGAGACATGCAGTACTAATACGTAGTTATCGTGCATTGTAAGTCGATTAAAAGTGGAGTACTGTACTACTGTACTGTATATGTAGGAGCCGAAATGAAAGTTGCATGTGTTCCATGTGCAGTTTTCCACTTAC